CCCTTTCTCCCCCCTACCTAGACCTATAAAAGCCCCTTTACCCCTCCCTCAGCACAACTCTGACCCCCTTAATTTAGAGCCTTGCCCAGCAACTGGCCTTTAATAAAACTTCTCTTCTCTGAGATTGTGTATGTGGTTCTTGGCGACCTTTCAGATGGAACAGCTACCCACCTGCCCAGGCTCTGAGACAGGAGCCCAAAAAGCATCTAAAGGCCAAAGACCAAAGCCAAGGGCTATAGCAATACAACATCCACAAATAGGGGCCTATGGGCTAAAGCTAACAAAAGACAGTAACTGAAAGAACAGGTCACTGTCTATGGGTTCTCACCTGCGCACACAACTGCTACAGACCTCAGGCTCCAGGAACAGCAGCCATGGGGTTTATTTTACAAACAGGGGAAACAAAAAGCTTACTGTATCCACTTGTGTCCAACTATCTCACCCATATAGCATCAGTGATGGTCACTAGTCACCTGAAGTGCTGGCCAGTACTGGCCAGTAGTGATGGTCGCTACTGGTCACTCAGTGGTGATGTCACAGACACCCAGTGTTACAGCTCTTTGTGAGTTGTTGGGGTTATATCAACAAGAAGTTCTTTGAGACACCAAGCCCAGGGCCTCTGGTGCTCTCTTCATGCAATGTCAGAGTCAGTACTGAGGCCAAGTTCCTGATAAGGTCTTCTGCTTCTCTTCCCTCCTCAGAGGTCAGCTGCTGTATGCTCCCTTTCTTCTTTCTTCAGAGGCCAGGAACATAGTCTTCCCCTCCTTTCTTCCTTCAGAAGTTGGAGCTGTCAGTCCTCTTTGGAGGCTGGCACCTTCTCTCCTGTTGGGGGACTGGTGTAGACTCAGCTCCCTCCAGCCCTGGCTTAGCTCCTCTTTCAGCGAGCACCACCCACAAATCTAATCGGATCGTTTTTTTTTTTTTTTTCAGTACTGTGACTGATTGGACAATTTAGCACCAATCAGCTCACAGCTTGCACCTGATTGGTCCATCCCACCAGCCAGGAAATAACACTTACATAAAAGCACTCTGAGGAGCAACTGCCACTACTGACAAAAGGACAGTTACTGGGCTCTGAGAAGCAACTGCCACAGCCGACTTGTGGTGGAGCAGCAGGGTCAGAGAACACCTCTGCTCCTGCTGGCTCCTGCCACTGTGGTGTCTGGGTTCTGGTAACAATTCGTCCTTCTGTGCTGTTTGGAACTAAAACCATGCAAACTAGAGGATGCCATGGTTTGTGAGTCCTCACAAGTATGCTTACAATTGCAGGACACCACTAGGCTCAGGATGCAACAACAATGGAATTTATTAACAAAGGAAGACTGAGGGGTTGGGAGGAAATGGCCACAGTGTCCAGCTGTCTTACCTCAGTGTCTACTACCTCCAGTAGTCCAAAACAAGGGCTTGTCCAAGATGATGCTCTCTACTCAAAAAGACACTTGAAGCTGGTAACACACCAAAACGTGGTGGAACAGGGTCCAGATCATGATGGCAGTTGGAGATAGTCACAGGTGGCACCACTGAGGCAGAACCACAGCAATGCAGCAGAAATTCAGAGCCAGGTTGGACAGTGCCAAATGCAACAGCACCAGGAGGTGGTATCAGACATGCTAGAGGCAGGTAGTGGTGAGGATCAGACACCAGTGTTGCTACTCTTTAGAGGCACAAATCACAGGCTGCAGTGCACAGGTCTTAGAGATGCTTGGCATAAGCCAGTGACAAATAGTTCTTTCAGAGGCAGTGCTAGAGAACCAGGCATCAGTGCCCAGCTCTTTCAGAGATGGCAGGCACAGGCCAGCAGCACCAGTTAGCAGGTGATGGGAAAGCAGAGCCAGAGGTAGAAGCAGCAGCCAGGCAGCAGTTCCAAGCAGAGATCAAATGCAAAGTTCTCTTGATGAATGAAGGTCTCAATGAATGAGTGTCTGCTGAGTCTCCTGATCAATGAATGAAGTCACCTATGCCTGGCTTACATCCCCTTTAGGGGTGCCCACCTTTCAAACTGAATTAATCCATTTTTCTAACTGCTGTCATTTCCAAGACTTGATAGGTGCCAGTGTGCGCTCAAACCAGATTGGTTCTTTTACAAAACCAGAATGGCACCAGTTCAAGTTAAAATTAGTCCATTTATAAACTGTGGGGACTTTAAAATGAAACCCCATCAGCACATGAAATTCAACATGCACTAAGGTGAGGCAGTGTTATGGTGTTTGTGGGTGGGCCCGAAGTAGAGCAGTGCAGGCACATTCCTTCCACTGCATCTGAATGGTGTCAGCCATGTTCAAACCTGACCAATGCATCAGTCAGGGGTTTCAAAAAATCCAAACCTAGCCAGGCCACAAAAACCCACCCTGCACCAGCTTTGGTCATTTTGAGCTGGGGCACAACAATCAGGAGTGAGGGGCATGCTCAGCTATAATCCCAACCCAGCAGCTATGGTGGGTTCCTCCGCCAGAACAACCTACAGGATATTGTTAGTTTTAAACAAGCAAAGAGTGCAGAGAACAATGCATATCATTTGCTCTCACTCTGGGTGTGGATGTCGGTGTATAGCCAATGAAATTCATACACAATGAGTTACTAGTTTCACTTCATAAAAACCTGTAGTAAAACTAAGTTGTTCATTTTTGCCTTTTAACATAATTTTAAAATATCTTACTACTGTGTGTGAAAATACAAAATC